TTTGAGTTTATGTTTGAGTCGATTACTTACGGGTGAAGGCTTTGTAATAGGCTTTGGTTTGGCAAACCTCAGGGCACCGACCGGTGGCTCAGCGAACGGAATGCCGTAAAATTGATTAAGTTCCTTACCAAGCTCAGTTATAGTCTGTCCCCTAACAGTACCGGAGCTGGTCTTGACGTCCACCGTCTCGGCGCCTATTCCTAAGCACCGGACGCTTAACAAAACACTTAAACACAAGAATAACATTATTGTGTGTTTAGTTGAACACAAATATCTGTATTAAATGGTAAATACATTTCGCATTTAATTAATATATAATTTTTATTTATAATTAATATTTAATATATAAAAATTGGTGTGAAAATTGTCATATGTTTTAGGAGCAAATCTTTCCGGTAGCAAATAAAGTACTCTAACGTATTTAATTATTTTATTCATGCTAGATTAGAAATTATGTTGAGTGTATGCGAACCAGTAACTGAACAAGTACACAAAAGTAAGTTCCACTTTTGAAAATAAAGTTATCAATTCAATAATAGTTGTTGTTATCAGTGTGAGTGAACCAAATATGAACTAGTTAACAATAGGTTTAAAATTAAAGATGCACAAAAGTGATTACAGGGGTAGTTTATATATGTATTTGAAAAATATTTTGATTGGACTAATTTTTATAAATAGATTTTTACTTACAAATTGTAAGTTACAATACTATCTACTCGCCATAACAATTAGTACTGTATCTAAAGTTTTTATTCATTTAAAAAACTTTTTGTCTTTAACTTCTGAAAACATTTTAGTTTTATTTAACAACATTTAAAAAGATTACATTTTTGATCATAAATAGGTAGTGAACTCGTAGTCCACTACTGAATGCAATGTCCAGTAGTTTTGATTACAATAGCTTTTATAGCAAATAGTGACTCATATATGGGTCAATACTTAAGATAATTTTTAAGTGAAAGTTTATGACATTTATGGATATTTTTTGTGTACAATTTCTGTGTTGAAAGCAATTTCTTCCGAAATTGTGTTTAAAATAAAAACAATTAAATTAACAATAAGTTTAAAATAGGTTTACATGAAGTAATTCTTGGAATACTTTACATTTATAATAAAATTATTATATAACTAAATGTGTTTACAGATTTTAATTGAACCTATTCGTATTCAATTTCTTACACAATATTAACAATAATTTAACATTAATATTGTACTATTTATTTTAATTATTACGATTATTACAAACATAGAAATTTAAAAACTTAATAAGGTTAGTGTGTTTTATTTTGTTCATTTTGAACAATTTTATTATTGTTTATCTATTGAAACAAATAATTATTCAAAATATTTTCCCCAAAACTCATCGCAAGTCCTCTTAAAGGGGTCGACCAGTATTTTGCTGAAGTCGTATGGATTCATGTCCTTAAACCTCGATATCTGGTATTCTTCGGCTTTGTTCACAAGTTTAGGCCATTTGGCGTCAGTCGTGGGAACACTTCATATCAAACGTAATGACAATTAAAACAAATCTATTTTCAAACAAACATCTAATTTATACCCAGTTTTAGCAAAATTAGTCCAATAAGTCATCCATTCCTTACTGAATGGTAGGTCGAGCTGAGGGGTGGCACCAGTCCTGTAGAACACAAACTCGAGATCAGATCCATGGCATATACCCATTGTCTGCTCATCACATCCTTTAAAATGTCCGCCACTTTGATACGTGAGTTCATAGAAGTAGACATTCCTTGTGGTCGAGTGTTGGGCCACTTGTTTGGCAAACAGATATGTACTGCACTTCAGACCAGAATCACCGATAAGATCATAGTATGCCCACCGATAGGCCGCGTAGTCATCCTTTTTGACATCTTTGAGATAATAGGCCAACACTTGACCCAAATCCATGTCACCGATGCGTCCTTTGATGGCATTAATGAATACCTCTTCAGTGATATTGCCTTTGATTTGTGGCGCCAGAAGTGAGCCCTCATTACGGACTACACCAGCGATCAGATCCACGTCTGGACACAAAAATATACATTTATTATCAGATGTAATGATCCATACAATCAAATGTCTTAAATCGCGATTTCACAGACACTGACCTGTGTTATACTTCCCCTCTTTGAAAGCCTCCTGTGCCGTGAGTGGCATATAGGCGGTGCCCACGAGGGGACGAAGATTTATCTGAATGTAACCGAAGATCTCATTCGCGTCAACCTTTCGCAAGCAGTCTAACCACGTCTTATCGTCCGTACACTTGAAATGTTTGCCCATTTCCTTGGCCTCGGCTAATGCTTGGACTTTGGTATGAGTTTCCTTCCGGTTATAGAGCTGAGCGCCTGACTCTAGTATAGCCCTCGCGAACAGCCCTTTCGCCAGTGGAGATAATACAAGAGCCGATACTGAGATACTACCGGCGCTCTCACCGAATATCGTTATCTTATCCTTATCTCCACCAAACAGATGAATGTTTTCTCGCACCTGTAGTTCATATTATTGTCATAAATCATAACATTTTAAAATTAATTTTTTAATAGCTAATAATTACAAACTGTATCTAAATATGATTATGCTTTTATTATATAATATAATATATATTATTATATAAATGATAATTGTATTGTTTTTAAATTGTTGCTGTAACCTATTCCTAATCACTATTAAAATAATTTTAATGATTTAATTAAATTTAAAAATTTTGTACTATAATAGACTATTAGTAGTTACTACAGTAATAATAGTATCAAGTATCTATATTTTACAGAAGGGCAGGACTATCACAAGTTAGCTTCACTGCAATGCACTGTTAGCGTTAGACTCTAAGGGACTGTGGTTTGAAACTAAGCGGTGATATGTTCACTCAAATACCGTCAAACTATACATAGTTCGGTCCACTGTATGTGCCTAAACCTGTGTACTGTACAATATGCTGTATTGCCATTCGCTCATCATTCAGTTAAACATTGTTTGCTTTCAGTATAGACTTAAGTGGCGTCACTCGACGTGAAATGGCCTTGTTATAATACTAATAAAGGAAATAAGTATTATAATTTCTGATTTCAATACAAACCCATTTAAGTCCTTCGAGTTGATCCAAAAGTCCCAGATTTCCGGGGGTCTCCTCATCATCGCCACCGTATAGGAAGCCCAATGAGCCCAACCTGTAATTCACGGCCACATACACGACATCATAGGAGGCCAACGACTTGCCGTTATTCATGTCCGAGAATATAGAGCCCGCTCTGAAACCCCCGCCATATATCCAAAACATAACTGCTTTTAATTGTGTGGTGTTATGGGGCGCCCATATGTTGACGTATAGACAGTTTTCAGACATGGGTTCATCGCCACCCAACCCCAAACAGGAGGTCTTCTTTTTGGTCGCATCGATGATATCCTAAAAAATATTTTGTGTTTATTATACAAAATAAATGAAAAGTTTCTTTGAGTTTATGTTTGAGTGGATTACTTACGGGCGAAGGTTTTGCAATAGACTTTGGTTTGGCAAACCTCAGGGCACCGACCGGCGGCTCAGCGAACGGAATGCCGTAAAATTGATTAAGTTCCTTACCAAGCTCAGTTATAGTCTGTCCCCTAACAGTACCGGAGCTGGTCTTGACGTCCACCGTTTCGGCGCCGATACTTAAACACCGAACACCTAACAAAACGCTTAAACACATGAATAACATTATTGAGTGTTTAATTTGGCACAAATAATCTCAATTAAATAGTTAAACATGTTGTATTTATTTATATAGTAGAAAGTGTGAAAATTGCAATCAGTGTTAGGAGCAACTGAAAGTCCGGTAGCAAATAAAAAGTACTAAACAGCACTTCATTATTTTATTCATGTTAGATTAGACATTTGGTTGAATGTATACGAATTAGTAGCAAAACAATAAGTTTCACCTTTGAAAATAACGTTTATCAAGGCAATAATACTTTTTGTACTCAGTGTTAGTGAACCAGATGAACTATTGATATTGTATAAACACTTCAGATTAAGTCTCCGTTTAGGACCGAAAGTACTTTATTTTAAGATCTAATAAATTCTAATATACTTTTGCATTATCTTTAAATTATCACTAAATCTAAAAAGTTATTTTATATCATATTTAATCCAAATATAAACTAGTTAATGATAATATTTTAATGTCTCGTTGAAATCAATGGTGTACAAAAGTGATTATACCCATAGAATTGTTAATGTGAGTAATGTTTGAAATATCATATATAAATATATTTATTTTACTGATTCTTATATCTGATCTTTCAAAATAAAACCCGGATTATATATAGGCTATGAATTGAAAGATTTTTCATTGGTTTCAATGAAATATCTTTCAATTCATAGCTTATATATAATCCGGGTTTTATTTTGAAAGGTCAGATATATAGATTTTTACTTACATTATCTCTAGTCGTCATAACAATTATTATAGTAAATTAATAACTAAATGTGTTTACGGATTTTAATACAAGGATTGTCTCATAAAGTTTGCTCCGATGCCTACGCCTCGTAATGACATCCATAACACTCATAATCCACTGAAATGTGACTTCAAATGCACCGAAAAATTCAAATAATGTTTACAAATATAACATTTTGTGATGAGGGTTATTTTAATTGAATATATTATATTTTAATGAGTATTGTCGGATATTTATTAACATATATCAAGTTATTATTCAAAATATTTTCCCCAAAACTCATCGCAAATCTTCTTAAAGGGATCGACAAGTGTTTTGCTGAAGTCGTATGGATTCATGTCCTTAACCCTCGATATCTTGTATTCCTCGGCTTTGTTCACAAGTTTAGGCCATTTGGCATCAGTTGTGGGAACACTTCATATCACAAATAAATGACAATTAAAACAAATCCTTATTTCAAACAAACAACTAATTTATACCCAGTTTTGGCGAAATTAGTCCAATAACTCATCCATTCCTTACTGAAAGGTATGTCGAGCTTAGGGTTGGAACCGGTCCTGTAGAACACAAACTCGAGATCAGATCCATGGCATATACCCATTGTCTTCTCATCGCAACCATACAAATGTCCGCCACTTTGATACGTGAGTTCATAGAAGTAGACATTCCTTGTGGTCGAGTGTTGGGCCACTTGTTTGGCGAAGAGGTATGTATTGCACTTCAAATTGATATCACCGTAAAAATCATAATAAGCCCATCGATAGGCTGATTGGTTGCCGGGTTTGATATCTTTGAGATAAAACTCTTGAATTGCCTCCAAATCGGGATCTTTTATAAGACTCTTAACTTCATTAATAAACGTCTGTTCGGTTGCATTGCCTTTGAGTTGGTCCGCAAGAAGTGAGCCCTCATTGCGGACAATACCAGCGATCAGATCCACGTCTGGACACAAATAAATAATTTTAAATAAAACTTGCTAGGTACTTTTACTGCAATGTAAGTATTATAATATGTGTTATAAAACTCTTCAATATTAGCTCTACTATAAAAATTGTGAATTAAATAAAACCTAACAAGTTAATTCATGGACACTGACCTCTATTATACTTTCCCTGTTTGAAGGCCTCCTGAGCATTGAGTGGCATAAAGGCGTTGCCAACCATTGCACCGACCGTTAGAGCCCCGTAGTCGTGGATCTCATTCGCGTCGACCTTTCGCAGGCAGTCTAACCACGTCTTATCGTCCGTACACTTGAAATGTTTTCCCATTTCCTTGGCCTCGGCTAATGCCTGTTCCCTCGTATAGTAGACCTGATCGGGGGTCAGACTCTTCCAGCTATAGAGCTGAGCGCCTGACTCTAGTATAGCCCTCGCGAACAGCCCTTTCGCCAGTGGAGATAATACCAGCGCCGATGCGGCGATACTACCGGCGCTCTCACCGAATATCGTTACCCTATCCTTATCACCTCCGAACGCGTGGATGTTTTCTTGCACCTGTAGTTTAAAATGATAAAACATGGAGTAAGACATTGTTTTATTGCCAATAATTATAAACTGCAATCAACATTATTACAATTTTATAATTAACATAAATTTATGATAAATAATAGTGGTAATGTTAGAAAACCTAGCGAATTTACGAATTTATAGTTAGAATATAATAAATTTATTAATTTATAAAATTGGAATAGTATTTGTGTTTTAATATAATAGTACATGTAACTTTATCTTATTTACACTTGATTTACTATTAACTTATTTAGCCGTTTATTATATACTAGTTTTAATTTTTAATTAAATTCTATTAACTATTTATAATTTTATAATCTACTCTCATTAACTTCAACACTTTAAATAGCTGTACTTCAAAAAATGTAACATGGCTGCAATACATACCCATTTAAGCCCCTCAATTTGGTCAAGTAGTCCCAGATTACCCGGTGCCATATCATCATCGCCACCGTATATAAAACCCAATGAACCCATCCTGTAATCCACGGCCACATACACGATATCATAGGAGGCCAACGACTTGCCGTTATACATGTCCGAGAATATAGAGCCCCCTCTGAAACCCCCGCCGTATATCCAAAACATAACTGCTTTTAATTGTGTGGTGTTATGGGGCGCCCATATGTTGACGTATAGACAGTTTTCAGACGCCGGCTCATCGCCACCCAAACAGGAGGTCTTCTTTTTGGTCGCATCGATGATA